CTGGTGCATTAGCCACCGCTGGAGGTACCCTGCTAGACTTGTGCATACTGCACATCAGGGTTTGTAGAGCTTCCTGCTGTGTTAGATATTAAAAATGGCAAAGTCAATGTCCCCGTTTGAAATCTTCTTTCAGACAGCAATGGTCAAGCTTCTTACCCTCCCCCCCTTCTCCCCTTCTGTTGCACTCACAGTCTTGTATGCTGGCATTCTTTCAAGAGTGTGAAACTATCAGCCATCTCACTGTGTGAAGATTAGCAGAAAAAAAATGGGTTGCATTCATGTGGGTAAAGATGTGATAACAGAGCCTTTAAATCATCCAGCTATAAACACTTATTCTTATGTCAGTTAAATTGCTGCTAATGAAAACTAGAGGAAAGGGATGAGAAAGCTGAGAGTTATCTCTTCTGAAAATGAATAGCATTTTATATTTTTCCTTCTAAACAAAATCATGTCCTCTCTGTACTCCTTCATGGACTGGTGATCTGTGTGCTTCACTACCCCATAAGTCTTATTTAGCTCTTATTTGTGCCCTTGACACTACCTTTTACCCAAGGACCCTGAATAGCTTAAGTTTAATTTATTTGTTTGTCACATATAAGCATGATTGGAGCAACTGAGAAAAATTACATTCATAAATCTTCTTGCCAAGATAATTAATTATGCACAAAATAGCCCAATCTGCCTCTGATGTTCATTAATGAAGGAGATTATCAGTGAAATAAAAGACGCTGTTGTTTCTGAAAAGGAAGGTCAGGTATTCTTTAAATGTAAAGCAAAGTACCTTTTTACATATTGGAAATACTGATAAAGAAAAATGTGTTATGATGATGCTTATCACAGACCATCACATTCCAATTAGAGGTAGAAGGAAGATGTTGTATTTTTGGTTGTTTAGAGCTATGAAACACATTATGATCTTTGCAGTTGCTTGATGTTGCTTTAAAGAAAAAAAAGATTAGCCAGATTTCTGTTTTTTATGTTTAAACTTAAAAAAACAGAGGCAGCATTAAGGGTAAAAATCCACTCTCAGATCTGCACAGCAGAACTTGGCTCTCATATTGTGCTCTCTCTACATCCTCTGAACTCCCATTAATGTCAATGGGAGCAAAATACACTGTCCTGCTTTTGTGTTATATTTAAGCTACGCATATAAATGTAGCGTACAATGGAGTATGCAAGCTTCGTTTGACATTAATGAGAATTCAGCACACATACAGAGAGCAGAATTCAGGTCCACCAAGAAGCTTTGAGAATAAATTTTTGCCACATGTCCTTAAAACGTATATGCATAAAGTCTAAAAAAAGAAAAAAATCTACCAGTTAATAATGATCAAATGATCAGCAAGGTTGCCAGTAATCTCAATTGTAATGGCAGGTTTTATGATGTCAACATCTATTAGAAAATGGATATGAACACTGAGGCTAGGGTCAGAAGTTACACATTAACCAGTATAAGTGATCAGAAACTGGTTAAAATCTGTAACACAACAAAAGTTCAGTGCATATAAATCACTTTCAAAATGGCTGAAACTGGTTTAAGAGAAACCTGGATGGATGTACTATTAGACTTAACTGATTTAGGTTAAATTAGTTTATTGAACTTCTGTCCCAGATCACAGAAGCCACTAAACAGCAACTGGCTAGCACAGATTTTCCATGATTCCTTAAAGATTCCAGATTCATTTCAGCCAGGCAGACTGAATACAATATGTTAATAAAAAAATGAAAGATAATTATCCATTTTGAGCAGGAATTATATAGTAAATTTCCCCAATTTATGAAATTCTGCCTTGTTAATGGAGATCCTGAATCCTTGTTTTGGAGATTCTGAAGCCTTCTTTTAAAGTAAATTCAGTAGTCAGCATATTTTTTTTCTCCCTAACCTAATGTAGGATGCTCAGTATTTCCTGGAAATAATTCTGTCTGAAACCCCTCTCCCATGTGCAAATTACTAAAATAATTTGGATTTGTCAAGGTGAGGGCATAGGTGAAGAAAAAGCGTAGGTGAAGATGAAGGCATATGTGAAGAATATTTCACAAGTGACTCACAATTCTTCCAACTTTAAAGGAAGGATTTGGAAAAAAACAGATTTTCTAGGAAAATAAGATCCATTTAGTTAAACTGATTTGGAAACTTCAGATGTAGCCACTGAGAAATTATCATAGGATATTAAGAATTGAAACAACATTACTTTTCAAGGAATACTTTTTCTCTGGACATTGTCTTGGTGACATAAGCAACATCACTCCCCACCCCCCCAACCAGCAATCAAAGTAGTATCAGTGGCTAAGTACAGGCGTTCTAAAGGCCTGAGGCAGAAGCACACTAAGTATAGTGCTTTATTGAAAGCACTTTAGATTGGGTCATGACAGACCCGAATGTGCATGCTGTCTGGTGGCGGGGGGCTTGGAGCCTGAACGCACAGGCTGCAACTGGCAGCCTGGGGTCGCTCTTGCATGCCCGACAGGAGGCTGTGGGAGCAGCCGAGCAGCCAGTTCCCCGTGAGTGGCCAGTGGGGCCCCTCTCCCCAGCTGCCCTCCCCCCTCCGCCAGCTGACTTCTATCAGTGCTGGCAGCCGGTTGGGGCGGGGAGGGGGATGAGAAGGAAGGGAAACAGAGCCTCTTTGCCCTGTGGATCCAGCCCAGGCCAAGGACCCAGCCCAGGAAGGATCTGCATGGCAGAGAGGCTCCATTTCCCCAGGCTTCTGGCTGCAGCTGCAGAAACAGAGCCTCTCTCTCACATGGACCAAGCCTATGCCTACAAGGTTGCGGGGTGGGAAGGATCTGTGTAGCAAAGAGGCTCCCTTTCCCCTGCTGTAGCCAGGAGGCTGTGGAAACGGATCCTCTCTGCTGTGCAGACCTAGCCCATGCAGCTGCTGGGAGAGAGACCCTGGAAGTCTCCCTGGCCAGGTGGGACTGGGATCAGAAGCTGTCATCGACTTGGGTCAGTGACAGCCGAGGGGGTTGGAGTGAGACCCTTCCCCCGCAACCTCTCTGGCTAGGCTGAAGTGCACTGTGGTGCCAAAGCAGCTGTAGGGACAGAAACCTCCTTCCCCCCACCCCAGCCTGGCCAGTCAGGACTGGGATCAGAGACTAAAACAGACTCAGGTCAGTGCCACCCAAGAGGAGCTCTGCCCTAGGCTAGAGTACAGCCCTGTGCAATGCCTCCTGGGATGGTGACACTTGCACTCTAAGTTAACCTTCAATGGGATCAGGCACAGACATTCTGTAAAGCACTCCAACAGAAAGCACTTTAATCTAAGACCTCTTACATTAGGAGTTAACTTAGAGCATGATCTGCCATTTTTAAAGCGCTCTGAAAGCCATGAACATCTGTTCAGTTATAACTTTAGAGCACTTCCTGCTTGCCCAAAAGTGAGATAGGTGTAATGCCTGTACCTAACCAATATCATTAAACATCTAAGGGTGTTAGATAATATTTCATGATTTGTCTAGTAATAGCTGTGGCTTTACATCTTACAGTTTCTTGTTTTACCTGGTTTAAGCTTAATGGAGGGGAGGTTGTTCTAAACCACTATTCTGTAGCCAGATGATGAAATCATGACACTTCCATAGGAACACAGCATACTGTATGCTGATCCATCTAGTCATTAAACTGATAAATCTAATCTTGCCTCTGGCCATTAGTAGTATATGATGTTTCAGAATAAAGTTTGAATCCTTCTCTATACCTTGCCAATTATACAGTACTTTATTTGGATAATTAGATGAGAGTGTTTATGATAGATAAGGTACCCAATTGTAAAACTTATACATGGGGCTGGAACTTACAGAACTTTCCATTTATTTTGCCAAACATTACCATTCAGAGTACAATTTTCAGTGTTCTGAGAATGAAGTTAGGGAAATACATATATATTGTTCTGCTGTTATAATTGTTACATTAAGAAGAAGGATTGTCTTGGTATTTGAGATGAGCACTTTGAATAAAGCACAAGGGGCTGTTTGTGGCCCTTGTGAAAACTCACCCAAATTTAGTGGAGTTACGAGCTTTTAGTGAGCATGTGTAAACAGAATTTTTCATAGAGATCTATTGCAGTCTGGCAAGTAAATACTCTAAAGATTTCACCCTCCTTGACCATGTTTTTCTACAGAGGACTTTCCTTACAAATGTCCCTCCTGGCTTTAAGGAGTTGCTGGGGCACCAGGCAAGGGAAATGAAAACAGAGGCACTTAATTCTCCCTGCTGGAAAGTGGAACCAACCAGCATGGAGGAGAGGTGAGAGGAGAAAGAAAAATGCCTGATTTGAATATAAAGGAGTGCAAAGGGTCAGGGGGAGGGAACAGATAAGAACAAGAGGGGAGTGGGAACTGAGTACAGAGAGGAGAATCTTGGGCATGCATAGGCAAAGGGGGAAAGAAAGCAGGACACATGCAGAAGAGTTGGTAAGTAACAGAGAAGGATGGGAACAGAACAAGGGAGGATGAGGAGAATATGACAAGAGGGAAGCAGGAGAACACTGGTGTTATGGAGACAAACAGATCATTAACCAGTAAAGAGTGCTCCCCTGTCAGATCCTGGAACTAAATTAATGAGTTCCAGGTTTCTATATTTCTCTGCTGTCAGCAATACCCACTGGAAAATATGCATCAATCTTTTCTATTAACTGATCCAACTAGAGGAAAACAGTCTACTAGTTGTTACCAATTACTTTACTAGCTCAAATATTTAGAAATCTGTCCTGAAAATCCAAAAGGCCAAACCCTGCTTCCAAGCTGTGTGAAGGGTCAGAATGTTACCAACAAGATAGAATTTCTGTTTTCCCTCTTTTTTAACTTAGAATATCACATTTAAAAATGCCCTACATTAAGATGACACTGAAGTTGCAGCCAAGTACTCAAACGTTACGAAAACCCAGAAAGAAGGTGTGAAATATCTGCTTTAAAATATATTTAAATCCCCTTTCCTGTAACTTTCTACACCATGTAAAGCAGTCTTCTGATTTTACTGGAGCTGGCCTAAATGCTGTGCTTCATACCTGGTTTTCTTGGTGATGCCACTGACAAATTTGAAGAACCTGCTTCAGCCCTTGGCGTTGATGCTTAAGATATTTGTCCAGTTGCCTTCTTCTGTCTTGTAACAGTTCAAGGAGACTGTCAATTTTCAAGCAGCTGCTGTGAGCTCCCTGAATCAACTCAGGATTTATATTTGGCCCATCAGATTTGAACTCATCTATGAATCCAGTCAGTTCATGGCTTTTGTTTAAGAGGGCCAGAGACTTTTCCAAGAGCTCTGTAAGAATAGGATTTCAGATAAAAAATGTGAATGTTTAAATATCCTGATGAAAATATAAAGCATTCTTTTAGCACTTGTAAATATAGTCATATACACAGGCACCCCTTCCCTCCATATGAATGGATTATAAGGTTATGACTTGCAGACAATACATTTTATCAGGCTTCTTCTACTAAAACTGCCTTCCCAGGGATCGTGGAGGCACCTTTTCCTGCAAGATTTAAAATCTAGGCTGAATAAACACTAGCAAATATGTTGGAAGGAACAAAGAACACTGAGGGATGTATTTTCTGACATCCCTAAACCAATGATGGTGGATACCAGGGAAGGTATGACAGGGGATAGATAATTTTAAATATACTCTGTTCATATATGCTCCCTCTAAAGCAGGGCTGTTCAACTTATGAGTAGCTGGCTCGCAGCATATGGGCTGCATGCTGCCTGGGCCATACACCACCCAGTGGGCATCCAAGTGCAGCTCCACACTGTGCTGTGCTACATGGGAGCCCCTGCACTGTGAAGGGGCCTCAGGTCCCCCAACCCCTGAAGCTATGGGCTTCTCTGGGCACCTAGGAGTGGGGGCTTGAAGTGGATCTGGAGGAGGAAAGGGGAGCCTGGAGATCCCAGCAACAGGAAAGTGATGGGGTATTGGTGTCTAGACCAGGAGCCAGGGCCATGAATTAACCCTACACAGGCCACATGCAGCCTTGCAAACTGCTGGTTTTCATAGATTCATAGATGTTAGGGTCGGAAGGGACCTCAATAGATCATCGAGTTGGACCCCCTGCATAGGCAGGGAAGAGGGCTGGGTTTAGATGACCCCAGCTAGATGCCTATCTAACCTCCTCTTGAAGACCCCCAGGGTAGGGGAGAGCACCACCTCCCTTGGAAGCCCATTCCATTCCAGCTGGTTGGACAGCTCTGTTCTAAAGCATCTACTACTGCCATGGTCAGAGACAGGATACTGGACTAGATGGACCATTGATCTGACTCTGCTTATGTTCTTAAAGTCTGCAGGGATAAATACAGATAGTCCAAAGGCCTGGGGCTGAATCGATTCAATCTTCACAGGTTAGTCTAAGTTGCGTAGACTGAACTGATAAGCAAGTGAATAAACATTCACTTTTGATTCCAGAAATGCAGCCACATGTCTTCAGTGGCCCAGGCCAGAAGCCCAGGGATGCAAGAGCATGCCTCCCTGCTCAGATGGAGCAAACAGGTTGGGCCAAGGTTATCCTGGCCACCCTGTGCAAAGCATCCTGGGATGCTGGAGAACTGTGCGTTAACTTGAATCTGGAGGGATCTGGGACAGAAGTTCAATAAATCTGTTTAACCTAAATCGGTTAAGTCTGATACTACATCCATTCAGGTTTATCTCAAAACAGTTTCAGCCACTTTGAAAGTGGTTTATATGCACTGAACTTCTGTTGTGTTGCAGATTTGAACCAGTTTCTGATCATTTATTCCAGTTCATGCATAACTTCTGTCCCTAGTCCATGTCACAAACTCAACAGCAATACTGTTTTCTCTAGTTTGTGTTCCTTTCATTTGATTAAGAGGTTTGTGCAGATCACTGCAGAAAAAAAAGTGGGAAATAGCCCACATTGCTTTCTACATTGACCAGTAGCTGTAATTCTGGTCCTCTGTGCAAAATGCAAGCAACAGGCAGTAACTATACAGATGCTTGGGAGGGAATATGTCTTCCCCCTGGTTGGGAGCTCCTATAGCCCATAGGCTGTTTTCAGTGGACATGCAAGGGTGAAGTCCAGTGGATCAACACACTTCTGTAACCCACCATTGGCATCTCTGCTATTTTCCTATTCCATCAAGAAGTCCTCGAGGAGAGGGCTGAGTTTGTACATCTTTGAAAGATGGATGTCTCCAGAAGGGTTTTGGAGGAGATAGGTGTTTGATGCACTAAGGAAAAGTTTCAAATATGGAAATATGCAGATATGCAGATAAGCACTGGAAATGTACATGTAAGGGTCTTGTGTAGAGAAGATGCTGTGACTTGGGAGAGTGAAAGGAGGCAGAATAGAGAAAAGGTCAGGTGCTAGATGGGCAAGACTTAAAGACAAGTAGCTTAATTTGACATGCATCAGTGGGAGCAGCAGAGATATTTTGAAAGTTCCTGATTGAAGTCAGAAGGACAAGTAAGGTACCATATAGATGATGCTGGTGTCAGTATTCAGAAGGACTAAGTGATAGCCCACCAGCCCAGAGACAAGGTAGGGGAAAGAAACAGTCAGACATTTCCAGTGTGAATCAAATTTAGATGTATACCATTCTCAGTGTGCAGAAATGATCCAGAGAATGAGCAGGAAAGCTGGCTGGCAACTGGAATTCCTATTCCACAGGAGCTTCTAACATTAAGAAAATAATAACATTAAAAAAATAGCTCTGAAATTGAACCAAAGGCTTAATTTTGAAGTTTCCTGAAAAACAGAAAAAGCCAAAACAATTGTATTTAGATATTTAGATGTATTTGAAATATATCCTAGGTTTCCAGTTGCTCAGAGTGTTAGAGAAAATAAACCTGGAAATCTGGGGGGCCTCCACTTGTTGGGTTCTCTCAGAACAGGGATTTTGTCAGCCCATGGCAGTTGTCTGGGAAGGCTGCCAGAGAACCAGGAGCATGGCCTCCGAGGAACTGCAGGGCTTTCAAACTTGCAGCTCCCCATCAGCTTACCAGGAGAGCTGGTAGGCAACCCAGCATGTTTTGACACCAGCCTAACAGGCACAGTTCAATGAAACCTGTCTGTCTCCCATTGCATCATCATTGAAATAGTCTTTTGCCACAGGACTTAGCTTAACATGAGAGCCCCTGCTGTATGTCCTCAGCAATCCAGTTCTCTGCCTGCCTTAAACCTAATTGCTGGAGAAGCAGCCAGGCAGTGGGAAGGAAAAGAGCTGGGGAACTCAGCACCTCTGCTTCCCTATCACAGCCTCGATGCACAGAGGGGAAGAAAGGTGGAACATGCCAGCTGGACCTCTTAGCTGGCTGGACAAGGTTGAGTGTCCCTATCAGCAGTCAGTCTGGAGAAGAGATGGGGAAGCTAAGAGCAAGGAGGAAGATGAGCGGCCAAGAGGGGCCTTACCCTCCTGCACTGCCTTCCAGGAAAAATCATATCAAACTTAATTTTCTGCCATCTACAGGAAGCTGCTAAGCCAAAAAACTCAGTTTTGATTTTTTTCTTCACGTTTCTTTTTACTCATTGTGCTGATTAGGGACAAAGATGTTTTAAAGGTGAGGATTTTTTCTGCAGGAAGAATTTTCATTTTGAAGCCAGTTTTGCTTAACACAGCCTAGTTGCCCTGATATTTTGTGAAGGTAGGATTTTTTCTGCAGCAGCTTCATTGCTGAGTAAGTCAGCTGTGCCTTTCTAACAGAGAACAATACAAACATTGCTTTTATTAAATATATGACCATCCATTTTCCAACTCTTAGCACTTAAAGAAAGATAAAAACAAAGAAGAAGGGGAACAATTGCTACCATTCCCTTCCACCCAGAAAAGGTCCATCCTATCAAGCCAGTCTTCCCTCTGGCAAACTATTTTATTTGATTGTTATAGTCCTGGACCCCCTTTTCAACAGTGACAATCACTCACTGCCAGGCATTCTGAGCTAAAATTGCGATATGATGAGCAATTCAGTCCCATGAAGACTGAATTGGGACAGCCATACTCATATTAAAGTTACCTGAACTCAATTCCCAATTCAGTCTCTTGAGAAGAGATGCATCTTTATCAAAATGCCAGCATTATAACCAACCAGATTTTTGAAACACTGAAAAAAAGATTCAAGTTACTACTGTGCTGCTGAACAAACAAATGCAGTTTATAATCTCTGCCAGTGGTTAGATTTCCTTTAACCTTTGGTTAAAATTACACCATTTATATTCTTAAGAAAGAATTAGAGCTCTATGTAGAACTACAGATTTTTGAACAATGCATTTTTTGGTTGCTGCGTTGATTGTTAGTGGTGGGGGGGCTCCTGCCCCCTCACTTTTAAAAAGGTCAGTAATGGCAAAAATGCTAATTCATAAAAATATCTGAATTTCAACATTAATGATGAATGGATCAATTTCTTGTAACATGGAAGAACTTGTCCAGCTTCTAAGGGCAAACACTGCAGAACAACTGGGAGTTTCATGAGGCACTGTTAGGGTAGAGTACAATTCTAGGATTTTGTTTCCATGTTGCCAATCGACCTTTGTCAGGTGGTAATGGAAGCTTCTGGCAAACAGAGACAAAACAGCTCAGCAGGAATATTATACACAGCACAGCCCTAAGAAGCCACAAGAAAAATGCAGAGAAACCAGAATCAGCAGCTGGATGATGTGGTTGTCCAGAGGCCAGCAGGAGCTCATTTCCAGGCCCCATTCCTCTTGAGTCATTTTCAAAATCTCAGCCCTCAGGCCTGAAGCTGCAAAGGTGGCTCAGGTCTGCAGCCAACACACTCCCAAGAAACTGTAAGACAACACCAGAGGATTGGCATAAAGCTGGCTGGAAATGTGTTAGTGGAACATTTTCTATCAGAAAATGCCAATTTATTAAGAGCAAATCATTTCATGGAGGTGTAAGGATTTCAATTAATTTTTCAACAGGACAGAATCAGGGCTTTGGCACTTGCCTGCCAGGCAGATTTCTGTTAGAAACATTGTTGATTTCCTGGTAAATTATCTTGGAAAGGAGACACGAGAGACTTCCAATAAGTCCTAGAGGGTCTAGGCTTCTGCATCTGCACAGGGGAGCCTAGAAACTTGAGACTTTTATTTCAAACCTGGGCTTTCACAACATCCTGGCTCCTGATGGCATAACTGGAAGCCTAGAAACCATGACTAACCCATTGTCATCAGACCTTGGGATCCCAAGCAAAATTTAATTCTGAAATTTTCAACACAATTTCAAAATGTCTTTTGGAATTTCTGGTTTATGGAAAATTTCAGTTGTCTGTATTTTTATTTGAAATGAAGTGATCTTTTCCCCCACCAGTCATATTTTCCCAACAAAGGGTAATGCTGATTCTTGTCCAACTCTATGTTGACACTATTCTTCTGAAAGAGCCAAATCATGGGACACCAGACTATAGCAAACTGCTCCCTACATTTACTTCCAAGAAAAACAGAAGACTGAAGAAGCAGATGAGGGGATTGTTAGTGCAAGAAGTAACTGGAAAATAGGGAAGCAGCAGAAGGGAGAAGAGAGGAAGAGGAGCTGGAGATAGCTGGTGCAGCATTATTTTTAACAGGACCTATTATTAATAGGATCAGTACTTAGCATCTATGATGTAACACTGCACCGAGAATTTCTCTTTGCCTGATCTTTCTAACTAAAGAAATACCCATAACAGAAATTATCATCTTAAAGCCATTTTCTTTGTTTTTTAATTTGAAAAAGCCGAAAAATACCTTTCAAAATCTAGCATTTCAAACTCCTAATTGCTGGAACATGCACTACTTACCAGAAAAGGAGTCTTTTTCTCACCTTTTGTATGGTGTTCATGCTGCTGAAGGAGCTCTTTCAAAGATTCAACATCCTCAAACTCCTGGGAATTCTGGAGGAACTCCTCAACTTGGTCAATTTTAATAGCAAACTGTATTAGGAAAACCAAGAGAAAGAAGCACAATGCAGTGGGTCATGATGTACTACATGTCATCATATTTCCAACCTATGGCTTTTGGAAGAAATTCTCTAAAGAAGACTTAAACATATCTTGTGCCAATCTCTCACATCTTCACAGTACAAACTTATCTGATGCCACACTGTGCCCTCTGTTTCACTATGGTTCTGATTTCATTAAAGGAACCCTGTCCTACTTAACTGTCTGATACAGTTTGTAATCATTGTCTGTTCTTTTATGAGTTAGCTTTTCGTTTTTCTGTATCTGGAAATTGTTCAAGTTTTTTTTTAAAGTAGAACCTGTGAATTTTAAAGATTTGTGTAAAAACTCTTTAATAATATATGGGATAAGGCCCTTTCTTCCCTATAAGATTTCATTTGAAGCTCCCCTTCAAGATCTTTCTTGTCATATTAAATTCTGAAATGCAAGGAGTCTTTCTGAAAATCTTTTGAGGCAGATACAATTTTCAGTGCACTATTTTGAAGATAATGGCAAGTAGTAAATTTCAATGAATGAATGTGATGGTATGCATATTAATAAACAAGTTATAGTATGGTAGTAGTACCATGATGATTAAGGTTGAGACTACTTACTATTTAAACAGCTGATTTTTCTAGGTACTCTAAAATCCATAGGCTTACTCAGATTGTCTTGAAAATTGTGATGTTGAGGATTCAGAACAGAGTTGGTGGTCTTAGTATGAAGTTGTTTCAGTAAGGGGTTCTTGAGAATCATATGACAACATTTTGTCTTTTTTAAAACTCCTTTTTGCACATATGGGTAGGCAGGGCTGCATGGCCCTAGGCAGTAGGGCATAGGATGGAGCAGCCAGGATGGAGCTGCAGGGCTGGGAGAGAGGAGAGGCAGCAGATGGGGGTCTGCGCTGGGATGGGAAGAGTGGGGCCAGAGGAGGTAAAGCTGGGGGTGGGAAAGGCAGCATGGTGTGGTTGGTGGTGTCGAGATATGGCAGGAAAAAAGTAGGCGTCAGGGCAGCACAGGGACATTAGGAAGGGAGCAGGAGTACCTGGAAGGCCAAACCAGGCACCCTGCCCTGTTGCTTACAGAAGCCTGTACCCTCTCCCCGGTGGCAAACCCCTTCCTTTAAGAGCCAGGAAGCAATCTGCTAGTCTGCCTAGCAGAAAGCATTCTGACAAGCTCTATTGTGCTGTCAAGGAATGCCTCAGCCTTTATCTACTCCATTAAGAGCAGGAATAGGAACAGCTAGGAATACCTCCTTAGGCACCAGGCTGAGCTGCCTTTTCACACAAAACTAAATCATGCCCCACTGCCTTTGAGACAGTTCTTCCTGACTAGAGATAGGTCCTCCCCCAGCACATGTTTAATGCCCTGAGGTGAATGTGACTACTCAGGTGCTAAAATTCATGCGCACACACTTGTTTTTTAGAAGATCTGGATAATTTTTTTTTCTGTGTCCTGCATGTTTCTGCCAAGTCTGGCAAAATAGGGTCCTGGTGCTAATGAGTTTTACCGTAATATCTCTATAGAATAATTTGCCATGTGTACAGTCTCATTATTGGGAAGTCATCTTAAATTCACGGTCATTTTGGATTTGGGTAAGTATGGTTTCATAAAGGAACTTAAATGATGAGTTTGCACCTCAAACTGATTTAATCAATCAGGATTGATCTCAACTACAGGAAGCCATGCTAAAAAATTATTTGGGGTACAAGTTTGCACAGCAACATGGTTTTGAACCAAACTGATGAGCCAGATAAAATGCTAGTGCATGCCTTCAGTCTGTATTTCATGGTTGTCAGATGTTTAAGTACAGATGCCTTTGCCATTTTAGAAAGACACTAAGCACTGCTAGCCAAACTAAATTGTGAGATTTTGGACAGTGACTTAATGATGTAGCTTATGATTAATCAATTGAACAAATCTATGCATCACCTACTGCTGATGTCACATTCTTTCTTCTGTAAGAGAAACATTCAGTAAAAATTAATAAAGCCATTATTATATCCCCAGATTCAAACACTCTTGAACTTTGTGTCAGGACTCAAATCAGGATTCCAATTTTGTGGTTGGCTTTCATCTTTACAGGTGTGACCCCAGACCTGATCACATTAAACTTTTAGTTGTTAAAAGAACAGTCCCAATTTTGCAGCTTAGCCTTGTCTCTAGCAATGATGCTACTAAATTAAGGCAGAACAGATCATAAAAGTTCTCATTTGAACTTGTGTAATCAAAGGTGTTGAAAACTGTGATGAAATTAAGGCATACAAAAAAGAAGCTCTCTGCTTTCTCTGTCTCGTCACGTTTTGCTCTTTTTTATTTATCCTATGAAACAAATCCATTATGCTTCAACATTTGAGATTTGAGTTGATTTTCATTAAAGAATATCCCTGAGATAGTGTGTGCTTTATGATAATAAAAATAAGATTATACATAATCACATATTGTTATTTAAAGAAAAACATTTCAAAAAGAAGTTTCTAGAACTCCTATTTAAATCAATTGTATTTCCTATCTGCTTCAAGATATAATAGACATGATTCTTGGCCCCACTCCAGATGCTTGTATTGTTCCAGTGACACAGCGAGATTTAAAGACAACTCAAAAAATCCCTTGAAATTTTTTTTTGCACTGGGGAATCCCCTCTGGTGGTGACAACTCACTTGAGTGTCCCCAGAATGAGAGAGAGTCAGGACACCTTTGCATCTGACTGATCCCTGGATTTTGGAATGACTTTTGGGAATTGCTGAAAGCTAACCATTTGCAGCAATTCTGTGGCTTTTCTTATTCCAACATATGGGGTGGGGGGGAGGGGAATGGAATTTAGAGTCCCAATCTGCAGGATAATGGAGGTAATGGAACAGGGGAATGTAGGGAGAGGGTCAAGATGGAGTATTTATTGCTAGGCCCCTTTCTTCCAGGACTTGAACTTTGGCTTTATCCCCTTTTGCATGCTTGCGCCATATGTTTGTATTTGTGAGCCTGGACGGGAAAATGACTACTGAGGAAGTGAAAAGCAGAGTGGAGACAACTATACAACACATTTGAGTGCACAGCTTTGAACTTCTGGATTTAAGAACTTGTCCATAATGATTTCACATAATGCGAAGCACAGAGAAGCTATAGAAAAACTTCTGTCACGTCAGCACAGTATCTATTCCAAGCATTTGGTCCAGACTAATTTTTCATTATTGTTGCTATTCACTTGCCAAGTACAGCATTATTTAGAGACATCACTTCACTATAGCTATTCAACTTAAATGATCTTTTGTTTAGCTTTATCTTGAAGTAGCCAGAGACCAGAAAAAAGGTGTATTTGGGGATTAGTAGCTGGCCGTTTATGAGTGTGATTAAGAACTACAACAAAATAGAAGAACAATAGAATAAAAAGCTGGAGGATTTGAGATTTGCAGCTAGTAAAGTGAGCAAAACGTTGGATTGCATCCATAGATGCTTCTCAAGTAAATCCTGGGACGTCATTCTCCCCTTGTACTCGGCCTTAGTGAGGCTGCAGCTGGAGTATTGCGTCCAGTTTTGGGCTCCACGATTCAAAAAGGATGTGGAGAAGGTTGAGAGAGTCCAGAGAAGAGCCACGTGCATGATCAGAGATCAGAAAAACAGACCTTACGATGACAGGCTGAGAGCTATGGGGCTCCTTAGCCTGGAAAAGCGCAGATCAGGGGTGATCTGATGGCCACCTATAAGTTTATCAGGGGTATTCACCAGGTTCTGGGGGAATGATTGTTCACCAGAGTGCCCCAAGGGATGACACGGTTGAACGGTTATAAACTCCAGCAAGACTATTTCAGGCTGGACATAAGGAAGAATTTCTTTACTGTCTAAGCCCCCAAGGTCTGGAATAGCCTGTCATTGGAGGTGGTTCAAGCACCCATATTGAACGCCTTCAAGAGAAATTTGGATGCTTATCTTGCTGGGATCCTATGACCCCAGCTAACTTCCTGCCCCTTGGGCAGGGGGGTGGACTCAATCTTCTGAGGTCCCTTCCAGCCCTAATGTCTATGAAATCTATGAAATTTGTTTCGAATTTAATAGCTTTGATCTTAAATACAAACCTCCAGAGCATTTTCAAAAAACACTGCAGTAATTTTCAGAAGTTTCCTTCGCTTCTCCAGCACAATGACGAGGGCATCCCAGGCATCCCCAAGAGTCTCTGCCATAGCATCATACACCTGGCTTTGCTCTTTGTTCTCCTCTGCTGTCTTGTCTGCTTCACGTAAAAGATCCCATACTTGGTCTTCCAAAGACTGAACAAGGAAAAAAAAATATAAAGAAATCTATCACTTCTGAGTAGAATTCAATGCAGCATGATTTTGGCCTAAAGATATTAGAAGTAGACCTTATGAATTTCTCACAACTTTTCTATTAATGCTATACTTTCAAAATCAAGTACTGTAGTAATAACAACAGGCGAATGGCCATGCCATTAATGAAACTTACCTCTTTGAATTTGCTTCTGTACTCAAATATAGAATCTCACACATGAGGCATTAGTGAAAAACAATGTTCAGGGTATCTATTGCTCACCTCTAAAATGTAAGTTCAAATATGTTTTCAGTTACTTGGATATTAATCTTTTTGGAACCTGGTGCATGCTTATATATTTTAAATTTTCATTTATTAGGTCATCATAATGCCATTGCTTCCTTTGCTGTGTTGAGAGGAAAGTACGTAATTAAAAAAAAAACCCAGAAGGTATGTTATTCAACATAAATGGAATTTGTTGCCAACTTCTATACAATCAATGGGTGATTAGATTCAATACACACACATATTTTGTAGAGAAGCTCATTGAACATGTGCAACATTTTCCAGTTCTACTTGCCACATTGTTTAGGATGAACCACAGAACTACATTGTTCAGGTGATCACAAGAATGGGTCCAGTGTGTGTTTACTCCTTTAGTGCTTTTGCCAGGAAAAAGAGAACATATGGCAATTTGCATCTCATGTTAAAAACTGCAGAGTGTCTAAAGAATTGATTAATGTTTGTACTATGCATGTTTTTTCATCTTGGGTCTTTATCATGAAAATGGATTAATAAAGTGCCAAATTTCTGCTGTTATTACAGGTGTTACCACAAGAATGTATAATGAGAAAGGAAATCTATATTAGGCAAATTAATATCTATGATAACTCATCCTCATGACACACACACTAATAAGAATAGAAGATAGGAAAACTTGAAATCCTCATGACAGAGACCAAACTGAGAATAGGAAATAATAGAAAACGAATTCATTACTGTACTAAGCACAGGACCATAATCTCCAGGTTCTCCCTAGATACCACCCACATACTCTTTGTGAAGATGAGAACCAGGCATTCATTTATCCTCCCTAAAAGCAGTACTTTGGGAAACACTGTATACACAGTATAACTCTTATTCCTTAATAAAAAATTAAAATAAAGAATTTTAGTCTATTTTAGTATAAGGTAAGATAAAGAAAAGGTCAGTAATTTTTACTTGGGATCTAAAAAATGAACTATTCATAATCTGATATTGCAAGAAAATAATAGGCATAGGAACAAATCCAACAAATTCTTTGAAACCAATATTGAAATATTTAGTTACTAGTTTATGTTCTTTTCTCAAATATGTGCTAGTTTCAGTGATAAATCCATTTTAAAGTACATAATGATTGTATAAAAAGTATTTTCTTCCAATTTCATCTATTGAATAGTAGAAAAGGACTGGGAGCATTCTAGTCCTAGGGCAGTCCTATGTTATACTTAGACCATACTAAGGGCGCTTAAAATGCAAGCATCCACACATGAAAGTTCATTAACTCATACTAAGTGTCCTCTGAGCATCATAAAGTTACGCCACAGTAGGTGAGAGTTAACTCTGGCCCATGCTGCCTAGCTTATGTTAGGATAACTTCAGTCTGCTCCGCAGAGATAAAATGAGCAAATTGCAGTCCTCCAGCATCCCAGAATGCACTGGTCTTCCTCCCCCAGCTCCCTCCCTCTGAGCCAGGATACAGCTCAGATGCCCTGGCTCCTACTTGGCAGCCCTCTAGTGGCAAACCAGAGCTGTGCAGGCAAGAAACAGTATTAATACTTCGTGTGCAACTTCCCACAGAACATTCTAAATTTAACACCACTTAATATTGCACAAATTTAGTATAATCTAAATGTAATGTGTAACTTCACCTTGGCTCTGACACTGGCTTTTTCAACACCATTTAGCCAATAACCATCCTGTTTGTCCTATTTTCTGCATATAATAATAATAAAATCCAGAAACTCTTACTGTTTATTTAAGCAGAAATCCCATTGATATCCAGTTATAATTTTGTCAGGAACATCAATGCTAAACTGCTACTCTGGTATAACTCACTTGATACCATATGTATTTCTCCTTCATTAGTTTGGTGTGAAATCTGATTCAGGCCAGGCATAACAATTATAAAAGGCCTTAAGGAGTCAACATCTTATTATAATATCTAACATCTTTATTGTAATATTACATAGTCACTTACCTCACTGAAGTTTGGGGGGAACAATAATTAGTTAACGATTGTAAAAAATGTGTAATGCAGTATGCATAAGCGCTATTATTTGTAGTACTAATAAAGGGGAATAATGTTTTTTACACTACAGACATTATAGGGGTATATGATTAAATAAAATTTAAAAACCAGCTTAATCAAAACAATGTTAATGGTCTGGCTTAATGAGCCATTACTAAGCTCGTGCGAGTTTTAGGAGAAAATTCATCTTACAAGGCAATCACCAGAGTAATCTCTCAAAACTGCTCTCTTTGTTTTTCTTTTACTGGCTTGCACCATTTCCTACATTATTTTCATAGTGACACAGCTATATAAATAATGTTGTCTATGAAGTTTGAACCTGCTAAAGCATACATACACAGAAACATTCTAATGCTTCAGTGCTGTATTCAACTTAAAATATAAACTGTCTTCCCTGTGTGAACCCCAGAATGTCACCTGTGCTCAGAAGTTTCAGGTCAATGTATAAAGAAGGTTTACATGGTCCTTAAAATCAAAAGGAACAAGAATTTCTTCATATCAGGCAGTCAGAACTGCCTAGGCTAGGGTTGAGGGCATGTCCACACAGTTTCCCTCCCAATCCCAGGCCCACTGCTGACAAAAGACGCCCCACCTATGAACTCCCACTTTGGTGCACGAGACCTCAGTAATTAGTCAGAGTAGATGAGTCAGAAGAGTCCTGAGAGCATGTCCTGGGGCTGCACTCAACCTTTCTGTTTCAGGACAGTCTAAGACTCATTTTAAGTCTGCTCTGAGCTATGTGGGGGCCACTCCTGATCTACCTACTTAGCCAAATTGCTTGTCTCTGATGAGTGGGAATTAGTGGTCAGAGTTTTTGTCAGCAGTGGTCCTGTGGTCTGGAGGGAACTCTGACATCTAGCTGCTGTATTAGTGCCAGTGGAGCAGGCTTGTTGCTGGTGCTGGGGAATAGACTCCCCAGGGAAGGCCACCATTCTGGTACCAACACTGAGATAATGCCTGTGACTGATGCTTTGCTCATTTTCCCTCACCAGTTATACCAGTGTAGTAGGGATAAGTGAAAATGTTCTCTCATTGAAAAATGTTTACAATGGGAAAGTGGCTTTTCAACAAAATGGAAAATTTTGGTTGAAAAACAGCCCCCAAAGCCAAAAAAAATAATTTTGAAATTCTGCAGTGGCAATCTTCAGTTTTGCTAAGATACTTCCTACTCTTATTCTCCTCTATTGGCTGGGCTCCTTGACCAGACTGTATAGTTGGGAGAGATATTAGGTAAGCTTTCAGGCAGAAAGTGGTATGCTTAGATTGTTTAAAATTTCTCTTAACTATGCAGTTGTTCCATGTAAAATATCACCAAAATAATCCTTGCCTATGGCACATCATGGAAAATGTAGTCATGCCAGAATACCCTGAAACCTTAAGGACAGTGAGTAACGTATACTACTACTCTCCTGATGCACCAGTGCAATAGACCTACGTCAAAATTTTTGGTGCTCAGTTGAAAGTTTTCTCTTGAAAAAATTCAGATGATATTTTTTTCCAAAAAGATTTCCATGGTGAAAATGACCATTGTCCTACCAGCCTGAGCATCTGCCCTTTTCTATCTCCCTGACAACAGACACAAATTGTTTTTGAGATTCACACACTTTAAAATTTCTTCACTGTCAAGTAGGGAAGAACTGAACCAGGTGCCAGGTGATACCCTGAGTAATCCACATATCATAAGTGGTCTTGATTGTGATCCTGAGAAAGTTGGTTCCAAACTGTGGTAAGGTAAGATATAATTCCTTTGGAATAAGTAAATAACCTCTGTAGGACTACATACATTTATCTGTGTTTATAAAGAGAAGGACCATGGCAAGCTACTTCAAACTGCAGGGCAGCTGTAATTCAGCCTGTTAAGTTACCTATGGGGCCCTTGGTTAGGTTAATTTCAGGTACCATGAATCTTCATAGGAACAGAAGATTAAGCGTACCAAGGGCAAACTCACATTATTAATACAGTCACACTCCCAGTTTGTTATGTAATGTTGGAATATTGGCCGTTAAATTCATTTTGCATTATTTCATTCTAATGCTGCTAATTATGCTAATACATTTTATTCTAAATTTTGCATATTGAATACTAATGAATATATTTTTTCATGGAAGCTATTTGCCAATAGGTAAATGGTGCACTTAATTATTATGTGCTCTCTCTTTAGAGAGAATAGTTCATACATTCAATAAGTATATTTTAGTTTGCCAATTTGTTTCTAATGCCAGCTGTTCCTGTTATCATTCATTACATTTCACAGAGTTGAAGCAGAATGCAGCATTTATGTTCCTTCAAAACAACTCCAGATATTGATACTCAAGAACTATCTTAAAACCACAACAAGCTTTTTCAGAAGATGGATTTAAAGGGCTATCCCAGTAAAAATGTAATATAAAAAGAAGGCTTTTGTTATCCTGAATACATACTCAAAGACAAATTGACTATTATCTCAGATTAGTACAAATGGTGGTAGCATGAGTATGGTGCTAAATTGCATCAATATGTAAATACTAGCAAATTGCCCATCAAGAATGATGAATGAATTTCAAATAACAAAAACAAACACATAGATTTTACTTTTTATATTTATTAAATAAATTAAATATTTATAAAACTTAAATAAAATAGGCTGAAGATTTGAAGATACCAATCCCTTCCTGCACTTGCTCTTGTCCAGTGGGCTGGAGGTGCACCCGCCCATGCTGCTGCCTAGACTC